AAAAAAAATTTCAAATTTGTCTCCTGTTCCTGCGCCCGTACGTCCCGACGTCACAGAGGGACCGGAACACGGAAGCCAGATGCCAGCATCGGCCGGAGGAGATGGCCGGGGATGCTGCAGGGGACACATCGCGGGAGCGAAGGACAAGGTAAGCGCTACAGGGACTCCCTATGCAATGCTGCATGGTAAGCCCGAGTGTAGCTCAGGGTTACCGCTTTTGGTACTGAAACTTTACACCGAGGTACACTCGGGAATACCGCTAGGGAGGTTAAACAAGAGTCTAGTCGACATCCTTGGTGCAATAAAATTTAATAAAGGAAATCATAAATTATAATATAATAAAAAATAATAATAAATTAAATAATGTAATCAAATAAAACACACGGAACTCTGTCCAAATACTATTATATAGACACTGCATATTCTAGAAAGCATCACGGGTGTGGTATATTTTTAAACACGGGACTGCACAAAGTCCAACATCGCAATCAGGACAGTGGAACCTCATTTCTTTGCGGATTTTTTTTCCACTCTCATCTCGCCGAGAGCAACATACCACGCACATGTAGGTGCTGTCTTTTTTTCGGTTGGTGGGATTTGGTCCATAAAATGACGTCCAGTCAGGCGTTCTGGGTTGACTGTTCAGATCTACCCACAGACACTGATGGTGTTTGATGCTTGAGGAAAATGGATTCTGCCACTTTCCAGATAAAGTCCGCGTGAAGCACAGGCTTGTCACTGTTTTTGCGGAACAGAATATAGGCATTCCACAAGCACTGTTCCAGAAGATGCCGGAAAATCTTTTTGTAGTATTTCCTCTGCTGCTTTCTCATCGCCGGATAGAATGTTATCACTTGGTCAGCTCTGTCGACACCTCCCATGGTGCTGTTGTAGTCAATAACAACCTACGACTTATGGATTTTTTTCCCACCTTTTATTTTTATCATCACTGTGGAGGCATTGTGAACGGTACTCATTAGGCACACATCCTTCTTGTCCCACCATCTCAATGCAAGCATTTTGCCTTTCTGCCAGGCAACTAATTCTCCCGACTTCAGTTTGTTTTTTTCAAACATCGATGGCAGGTTGCGCCGGTTAGCCCGAACGGTTCCATATGCATCCATTTTGTGCTGAAGAAGAACCTCGTAAAGTTCTGGAGAGGTGTAGAAATTGTCCGTCTTAACACAGTAGCCTTGGTTTAGCAGAGGCTCAATCAGTGACAGGACGGAAGATGTTGCCATTTCATAATTGCTGTACTTGGGATCAAATTTTGTTCCTTTGCCGATGTATCTAACTGTGTTACATATGTAGCCGGTAGAGGATTCGCCCAGCAGGTAGGATTTGACACCAAATCATGCTCTCTTGCATGCGAAATATTGTATCCAGCTGAGCCTTCCTTTGTAGGCCATTAGACTTTCGTCTAAGTTATCTTTGTTAATACATTTAAAGTTGACCTGAATTCATCAAGTCAAGATTTGCTATCTTATAGGGAATATCTAGTAATATTATTGGTACTTAAGCAGTGCCCTAAAAGAGTTACCATTTGTCCTGGATTTCTTCTGTAAAATTGCAGTGTACTTATGTCAATACTTTTGTTCCCATAGCCATATGGTATATCTGCAGTACAAGAACTAGAGCACTGTGCCTCTGACTGATTGAACTGAGATTTGGTTATTGCACTACTACAATGCTTGCTGAAGAGTTAAGTGTACCTGGGGACTTGAAGTGCAAGAATTTCCCTGCTTCGGATGTATTTATTTTGTAGATGTATGCTTTTTTTTACCTGTCCTGCTACTTCTTAAATATTTACCCAACAGGGAAGGCAGCTCTTAAAGAATAAGCATCACTAAAAATTAAAAGAAATGAAAAGAAATTATGGAGTTAATTTCCTAAAACTACGTGCAAAATCTGGTGCAGCTCTGCAAAGAAACCAATTTGTTTCCAGGTTTTTGCCAAAGCTTAACTGAACAAATTGAAGTTAGAAGCTGATTTGCTACCATGCACACCTGAACCAGATGTTGCACTCTCCAGTTTTAGTAAATCAACATGTATGTCTTCTCTATAGTGTTGCCTATGGTCTGGCAATTGAACTCTATAGGCACATTACTAAGAACAGAAAAAAATCACAGCACAGGAGAGAGAAGTTGGGGTCTTCCATTCTTTCTGTACCTCCCCCCACAGAAATGCTTATCATTTTTGTTTCAGTCTAGGAAGGAGCTATAGCCTGTACAATCAGAAAGAAAAAATGTGCTTTTATTTTCTAACAGCATAATTCCAAATGGGAACAAGTGCTCCATGTACTTAGGTCCCCTGGGGAGTTTAAAAATATTTTCTTACTTTGATCAGCAAAAATCAGCTGCAGGGAGCCTACTTGTAATTTTGGGTACATCTTCCCCAGTTAAGGTCCCAATCACTGAAATGTTACATAATCTTTGACATGTTCAGGTAATATCAAAAAACATTTTCAATATTTTTATTGTTGGGCTTGATGTTCGAGTCGAATGTAATTTCGACTCGAACATTGACCGTTCGTGTATTCGCGAACACATGAATGGTAAGGGCGTTTGGCAGGATATTCGCCCACCACACCCCACAATGCACTGCGCTCTGACAATGCATTGTGATTGACCAAAGCAATACACCAGCTTTGTGATTGACCTAAGCTTTGGCCAATCACAGCACATGATGACATCACAAGGGGGTGGAGTCATCTGGTTGATATCACTGGGCGGCCCCACCCCTTAGATATTTAGGAACTATCAGGCCGGCGCAGCTGTCAGACGGCTGGGAGCCAGCGTTGAGCCTTTTTTTCCCGGGTCGTCCGTGATGGCGGGCATCGTGATTGACGTTGGAACTACTTCAGGGGACATTTTTGTTTTTAATAAAGGACTTGTCAGTGACTGTCTACTGTCATTTTTTAAACTATCCTTTTTTTGTGTGTGAACGAGTAGTGGTACCATGAACCCCATACTCTGTAGGTAGGTATTTCCTAAAGTATATGGGACTTTATAGACAACTTTCAACATAAATGTAACAAAAAAAACTTTATTACAATTATAAAAACACTATCACATCATAGGAAGACCAGAGACATTAAAACTCAAAAACAGTGGCTGAGTACATCTTACAAATTACAAAGGTTCCATAACGGAAAATCGTTTAGTCCATGAAGGACTGAGACCTTACGTGATCAATCTCCTATCTTATATTAGGGAGACCATACACCTGTTACAGAACCTTGAAGGTATACAATTATCTCAGGAAGTTACTCTTGTAGCTATAGATGTGTAAGCACTCTCTATTTCTATACCCCATGAGAAGGGACTTTCCACCATTCTACACATACTTTCTCAGACACACAGGCAAGATCACAAACTCAATGAATTCACTGTTTTGTCATTGGCAGTTTATCCTCACCAATAATGTCTTTGTTTTTGAGGGTAGGTGCAGGGCATAGTGATGGGGACATGCTGTGCTCCATCCTACACCAATCTGTACCTGGGGGAGTGAGAACGGTCCTTTGTTGGATGACAGTATGGCAGCATTGACTGACCACATTTCTATGTGGTATCGCTATATTGATGATATCTTCTTCATATGGGAGGGGTCTCTGGAGTTACTACACAAATGTGTCCATGCTATGAATAAGAACATATTTAATTTATGTTTTACCATGTCACATACAGTAGCTGCAACGCTATTACCTTCTTGGATGTAACTATTAGAAAGGAACAAGACGATGGGCTCTCTAGCTGCTTATACTGCAAACCCACTGCCGGTAATACTATCCTACATGCACATAGTTCACATCCCCAAACTTTGATAACTGTTCCAATGAAGACACATTTCTCAAAAGAAGCTAAATTAAGCGATAGACTACTCATATGGGGTTACACACCTATGTGTTTGAAAAAGGCATTTAAAAGGGCTAGGTCAAAGTCCAAACACAATCTCCTGTCCCCAAAAACACAAGGAAGATCCAAAGGGTGTGGGTATTATTACATGATATACTAAACAACATAGATCAATTAGAAATATCCTCCAGAAATACTGGCATCTCTTACAGATGGACCCCACCCTTAACCCCCACATCTCAGAAACCCCCATGATCACATATCGCTAAATCTGTCAGAGACCACATGGTACACAGTGAGTTTTGAGGGAATGCGAGAAAAGATCCTTCTAAAAACCTAGGTACTTTCAAATGTGGAGGTTTCCCCTGTTGACAATATATCAACACCAACAAATACACTATTTTACCTAATGGTCAGAGATACAGATCCCAACACTTTGCTAATTGCAAAACTGCAGTGGCTGTCTACCTACTCACATGTGAATGTGGGGGTTTCTATGTGGGGAAACTTAAACTTGAATTTTTGGAAAAGGGCTTACCAACATATTGTCAGTATGAAAACAGCTAACTCCAATTTACCATTAGGATGTCATGTAAAATACATACTGTACATGGGGGCAAATTTCCTAAGATCCATTTTCTTATTCTTATTCTGGATAGAATTCATCCAAATGACAGAGGGGGGAGATTGGAATAAAATCTTACTCCAACATGAAACCAAATGGATTGTTTTTCTCCAAGCCACTTCTTCCCCTGGACTGAATGATACAGTCAGTTGTAGACCGTTCTTGGATGGCTTCGCTTCAGAGGGGTGAGAAAAAATAATCCGGATATTAATCTGAACAATAAACTCTATTGTTCTTATATATACTGTATATATATTGTGTATGTATATACAGTATATATATTTTTCGCTCCATAAGACGCACTTTTTTCCCGCGAGAAGTGCTGCGCTTTGTGAATGACCCGTAGTCTTCTAGGACATGTCACGTGTTCCAGAAGACTACGGGAATGGAGGACAACTTCCGCTTCCGATCGCCTAGGTGAATTTGACAGATACCCGCTCCCCAAAGGTCTGCAGTCTCTGGTCATCTCCTGTATTATGTCCGCAGTCTCTGGTCATCTCCTGTTCTATGTCCGCAGTCTCTGGTCATCTCCTGTTCTATGTCCGCAGTCTCTGGTCTTCCCCTGTACTATGTCCGCAGTCTCTGGTCATCTCCTGTACTATGTCTGCAGTCTCTGGTCATCTACTGTACTATGTCCGCAATCTCTGGTCATCTCCTGTAGTACATGTGCAGTCTCTGGTCATCTCCTGTACTATGTCCGCAGTCTCTGGTCATCTCCTGTACTATATCCTAAATCTCTGGTCATCTCCTGTAGTACATCCGCAGTCTCTGGTCATCTCCTGTACTATGTCCACAGTCTCTGGTCATCTCCTGTACTATGTCTGCAGTCTCTGGTCATCTCCTGTACTAAGTCCACAGTCTCTGGTCATCTCCTGTACTAAGTCCACAGTCTCTGGTCATCTCCTGTACTTTTTCCGCAGTCTCTGGTCATCTCCTGTACTATAACCGCAGTCTCTGGTCATCTCCTGTAGTATGTCTGCAGTCTCTGGTCATCTCATGTACTATGTCTGCAGTCTCTAGGCATCTCCTGTACTATGTCTGCAGTCTCTGGTCATCTCCTGTAGTATGTCCGCAGTCTCTGGTCATCTCCTGTACTATGTCCACAGTCTCTGGTCATTTCCTGTACTATGTCTGCAGTCCATTGGTTCAGAATATTTTTTTTTTCTTGTTTTCCTCCTTTAAAAACTAGGTGCGTCTTATGGTCAGGTGTGTCTTATGGAGCGAAAACTATGGCATATAGAGGCCTCTGTATACCTGTAGGGTTATTTTCTGGCATCTTTATTAATTGATTTCCTAATCCTTATTGAGATATATTCTCTGTATGTTGCTTGTTATTACATTGGTTTTCAACTTGTTTCATCCAGTCTGATAATGTTGGGAATGTTTACTTCTCTCCTTTTCTCTTTCTTTTTCTTGTGGTTTTAATTATATATTTGTTCTGTATGTGTGGCTGTAACAATCAGTTGACTTTTGTGCTGCATTGTCAGGATATGCCATTACTTTCTGTCTTTGCTGCTAGGTGTTGCCTGTGTGCTCCTGCTGCCACGGTTGTCTCCACCCCGGCGCAGGGGGCCGGCTGGGAATCTTCCCCAGGCGAGCAATACATGGGAGGATGGGCGGTGCTGTTTTGGCCCTTCCTTTTTAGTTCTCCCCGAATGCTGGTTCATATCCGCTCTCCAGTCTTAGTGGCCGTGTTGCTATATATGCGACGGTGGGCCACTATGTGCGTGGTGCCATTCCACCCCTTGTAGGCAGGGCTGCGCTGTGCACTCCAGGCCCAGGGTTTCCCTAGGCAACCTGGCACAAGCATGCGCAATGTGTTATTCTACTGCGTGGGCACCATATTTATACCCCTCATCATTAACAGTGCAGTGCATTATCCATTTGCCCCACTTACATGGACAGAGATTTTTTCTCCCAGGAACGGAATGTTTCTTACATACCAGGTGAGACCTTTCATAAAAGATACCAATTACTATGACCATATTCATGTGGGTCGCAGTTTGAAGGTGAGCGCGCACACTAGCCGGTGGAGACTATTTTTCGTTTTTTGCTGCACTGCATGTCTCACGGCGTACACTGAAGATTGATTGATTTTTTCCTGTGTTTTGGGACTGTTATATATTTATTGGGACTGAGTCACTTTAATTAATGAAGTTTTTTGGACTGAAGCACATTTTTATCAACACAATACAAATCATCATTATTATTATGTTCACTGTTGTCACCACCACATTATAGTATTTTTGTGCTGGTGTTGTTGTATTTGTTCACACCCATTCACATGTCCTTTGTATATGTCATGTTTACTCTTGGATGAGGAGCATATGTTTATTTAAATTTATTTTCGTTGTCATGGGTTCATCGTTTATACACTAAGTAGCGCAGCACCCTGTCACTTTTCATATTCATGCTGTTTTATTTATTTTAATTTATTTTGAGAATATATTTTTTTGCACTTTTATAGAATTTTTACCCATATGTTTAATGGATATGTATTCATACTTTATCAATACATCTTATTGCATGACACTATGCTCTTTGTTCACAGCAGTCTACTGTTCATTATCTAGCACACTTCATTATCGATTTGTGCTTTTTCATGTTAATTTTTTTCCCCTGTGTTCCCTAAGATTACATTTTTCAACTAATATTAAATAACATTGGCACTGACCTTTTTATGATATTATTTTTCTAACATTGCACTATTTTAGTGGAATGTGATAAATTCTATAGATAGATGTGTATATATACAGTATATGTGTGTATATATATATATTTTTTTTTCCTTTTTTTTTTTGTCATGATATTATTTAGAAATATAATTTTTTATTTTGAAGTGGTAATGGTGGTTTGATTTGCGACTTGCAGGGGACCCTGGTGTGAGATCTCTGTGGCCTGTTCCATCTGGGGCTTTAGTGCGACCTACTTCCCTGGTGACATCAATGGATAGTATTTGAGGCAATCATATTTTCTGGTGTCTCTCACATAAATATATATTTATATCTTGGACAGTATGTAATAAGCATACATACAATGTAGAGACAGTAATATTTGTATGGGATCTTGTCTTTTTTATTTATTGCTATATATTGTGTCTTAAAAGATGATCGAGTCATCATTCCTCTGCACCTAAACCCTGATGAAGGAACTAAAGAAGTTCTGAAATGCGTCGGTACCTTGCTGTTTGGCTGCATTTATACCATTTCCTCACTGTGCAATAGAGGATATGTGTCTATATGTCCTGATCAACCTTTGTAATTTGTAAGATGCACTTAGCCACTGTTTTTGAGTTTTAATGTCTCTGGCCTTCCTATGATGTAATAATGTTTTTTAAATTGTAATAATAAAAAATTCCTCTTTTTTTACATTTATGTCGAATGTCGCCTATAAAGTCCCATATACTTTATTTGGGAAATACCTACCTACATACTATTACAGGATGATGGCAACAATCCAGTGACTCCTGAGGTGACTATACAACTGTACCCCATATTCATTCAAATGTGGGGCAGGGATCTGGGGGGCCCTTTGTTAAAGGGGGCTTCCAGATTCTGATAAGCCCCCTGCTGCAGACCCCCACAACCACTGGCCACGGTTGTAGGGAAGAGGCCCCGTGTCCCCATCAACATGTGGACAAGATGCTTTTCCTCCCCTGCCCCAAAGCACCCCCCCCATGTTGAGGACATGTGACCTGGTATGGTTCAGGAGAGGGGGGGCACTCGCTTTTCCCCCCTCCTTTCCTGACCTGCCGGGCTGCATGCTCAGATAAGGGTCTGGTATGGATTTTGGGAAGGACCCCCATGACATTTTTTAAATATTTTCGTGTAGGGGTTCCCTTCAAAATCCATACCAGACCTGAAGGGCTTTGTTTTGCAAAATGTTTAATTGCCAGCAATTCTTTTTATGTTTAGCTGTCAGTGACGAACCCACTAGAAACCTTGGGCTGCCTATTTCCAGACCCATCTGCATGGCAGCCCTAGCGACCTGCAAATTCTGTCTCTGGAAAGTCGCCTGGATCTCCTGAGAACAGACATTCCCAGTGATAGGGGTCTGGAGAACACACATGCTTTTATGTCATGCTTGAACCCAGAAAAATCTTTAACTGACTGGTTTACACTAATGGGCAGTGTGTTAATTTGATTATATGTTTTTTTTTTATCCCTATGCATAATTGTGTTTTTTGCTTGTAGGATTCAGGTTTTAGTGTTTCTTTCCTTTTTTACTTTTTTTTTCTCTCTCTTTTCCCCTTTTTTTTTTTGTTTATTTTTCAGGACTGAATGTACCCCCTCCTCCAATGCTGACTAGTCCATTCTGGACGTTTGGATGCGGAGGTGTTTTCCTTCTCTGAGGTAAACCGTCTCCCCAGGATATATTGGTACACTTTTTTTAGTCCCCATTTAGCTATAGGTTTTTGTGTTTTTTTTGTTGGTGCAGTTGTGATGCATGGGTGGACATCTTAGTTGACCCGATTAACCTGAAATGGATCACACTTGGATCGAACTAGCCTGGGTCATGGGGTATGCTGTCCGCTCTTGGGTGGCACAATATATTATTTAAGAAGTTGGTTTTAGGTATATAAACTGTTACATCCATTATTGTATGAAATGGATGGACCCCTGTGATCCCTGGTTGGGATTGAGAGTGACCTCTTAGAGAGCTGTTGGGCTCTATGTGAACACAAACTGGGGAGGATGGTTTTCCTGGTGTGCTCTTTAACTGAAACCCTCACTTTTCTGCTATTTTTTCCGTGGGTAAGCATGTTTAAGCATCTATTTTAAGGTTATAGTCATGGTTAGTGAACTGTAAAGAACCGTTTATACTTAATTTAGAGCATTGAGTGAATCTGTCTCCTTTTCGTTACTTGCCAAAAAATGGCCACTGCCCCAGTCTATAACTGGCCTTCACAGCAAGGAACGAATGGAAGGGCGACGCATGTCAAACAAAAGAGAAAAGTTCCCAGCTCAAGTTGCCAGTCAGCTTGCAAACAAACCGAACAGTATGCGTTAAAAACAGGGGTTTAGTTAGCACACATTTGCAAATACATACGTAAGCTACAGAGCCACGTCACAGCACCCCGATATTCTGTAGTCCTAATTCTGAGTGCCCCCATAGTAGAGGCACATGTATTTAATGGATAAACCAAGGGCAGGTGAACTTGAGGGAGCCCACCCCTACTTAACCTCCCTGGCGGTATTCCCGAGTGTAGCTTGGGGTAAAGTTTCAGTACCACAAGCGGTAATCCCGAGATACACTCGGGCTTACCATGAGGTGCTGCTCCGCGATCCCTCGGTCACTTACCTTGTCCTGCGCTCCCGCGATGTCCCTCCTGCAGTGTCCCCGGCAATGTAATCCGGCGGATGCCGGCATCTGTCATCTGGGTTCCGTCCTCGGCGGGAAATTTGAAAATGACAAAAAGTGACATTCACAAAAATCACTAAAATCACATAGTAAAACATTACTGTATCAAACCATTTCACATACATTTTGTCCCGAGTGCTTTGTCCTGTGCCCTGCCTGCATATTTACTGTTCTTTCTGCCTGGAAACTGAGAAATGTCCATGGCGTCCAAAAAGCGTCCCTTTAGGTCAAAAGCGGTTTTAGACCAGCTAGAGAAACAGCGATAGTAAATTAGAACTACTTGCAGAATTAGTGATAATGATTCGTGGGGAAATTCGTCATCAGACACTGAAAACAATTTTGCGACTTTGCTCAGTGATGTGCGAACTTGGCGCTATATTTCAAATTTCAGTGTTTTTGGTTTGAATATATTATTGAATTAAATTTATTATTATTATATTATTTTTTATGAATATTTATTAAATTATAATTTATGATTTCGTGTTTCAAGTTTTATCCCACCCGGGATGTTTACTAGACTTGTTCACACATATTTCAGTGAGCTATTCCTAAGAATTACAGGCCTACAATATAAAACGCCAAATTTCCATGCAAAATAATGGTTCCGCTTTCAGCACCAAAAATCTGAAATAATCATACCGCCAGGGAGGTTAAAGGTACAGGAGCGCACCGGACACCCAACATGCTCCTTTTCGTTACTTCCCTAATTCAAATGTCTTGAAATGGAACTGGGACTTCTACCAACTTCTATATCTTTTAGGAATGCACCGCTATTCCCATTTGCTGAGGCCATACTATTTGACGATAGGCAATTGTGCCTATCATGCCTTATTGGACCAGAGGGCCTAGGTTGTGGGGTGCACAGCCCTCCTGTGAGGGGGATGCTATATAATTCCTGTGTAGATGTGTGGGAATATTATAGTTATATTGTCAAGCGTGTTTTACTGTGCGTATTGGTCAACCCCACAGACACACCGAAATCGCTCTGGGTGCAGTACTGTTATCTGAATATAAAAGTGGGTAAAGCACCCCCGGATTACATTTTCTTTTTGGGGCTCTTGCTTTTCCTGGGGTCTCTG